CCTCCCCGCTGTCCCCACAGCCCCCCTGGACCAGCCCTGCTGCAAAGCCCTGTACGACTTCGAGCCCGAGAACGACGGCGAGCTGGGCTTCAAGGAGGGCGACATCATCACCCTGACCAACCAGATCGACGAGAACTGGTACGAGGGGATGATCCACGGCCAGTCCGGCTTCTTCCCGCTCAACTACGTGGAAGTGCTGGTCCCGCTACCTCAGTGAAACGGCCCCGAGCGTCCCCGGCTCCATTCCCGCCCTCCCCGCGTCACCTCGGGGCCAGGCGCCACCAGGGAACAAACCAGAAGGGTCCCCCCCACGGCCCTTTCCCCTCCGTGAAATTGGTTATTTTCCTTTTGGGGTTTTTATTTTTTTTTCCGGTTTTTTGGGTTTTTTTTTTGTCCTTCTGGTGCTTGAACTTCGGTACTTCGCGCCCTCCCAGCCCCGTCCCCTCCTCTCTTCCCGCATTTCCTTTGGGTCCAGCAACCGATGAGCCAGGTGGGACAGCTGGGACATGTCCTGGGACACATCCGAGAGGTCACAACCCCACCCCAGTGACCGCCACCCCCCCGTCCTCAGGTATCCCCAGCGGGCAGGGAAACTGAGGCACAGCAACACTAAAACCCCCACGGAACACTAAGGCAGCCCTGCGGGGCGGGTGCTGAGCTCTGCCCGGGGCTCGGGGCTGTCCCTGGGGCTCAGAGCCACCCATGCCCACCCTGGAGGGACAGCAGGGATGTCCCCTGTCCCCCTCCCCACAGAGCTCAACCCCAAAGGGCAGAGTCTGCTCCTCCTGCCCGCGGTTTTATTTTATTTTTTTTTTCCGGACCTTTTCCTGCTACAAACCCCCCAAAATCGGAGGATCAGGTGGAGGGAAGAGCCGGGTCACAGCCYGGGCTGTCCCTGCGGTGGCACAGAGCTGGTGGCACCTGGAGGAGCTCACCCTGCCCGCCCTGGCTGCGGAGGGGAAGGGACAGCTCATCTCGGTGTCACCTGTGTCACCCTGCACCCTCGGTTGTCCCCGTGGTGGCCGCGGGGTGGCTTTGGGGCCGCAGAGCAGCGCTCGCCCCCAGCCCGCATTTCCCGTTCCCCGCTCAGCCCGGGCCGTTCCCGTTCTCCCGTTCCCCGTTAGGGTTTCCTCCGTGCATGTCCGGTCCGTGTGACCCCCGAGCAGCGACCCCGGCCCGGGGGGATCCAGGGCAACCCCCCCGAGCAGCGACCCCGGCCCGGAGGGG